TCTTCTCAGTAAAAACTACTTTGCTTTTCAGTCCTAACATTTGTATTATGAAAAAAAAAAGTCTTGGTAGTTTAAATTAAATGTGCCAATGCATCGGCTTTATTGCTATTCCTCAGGTGTATTCTTGTTATGGAGTCTTCCGATATGATTTTTGACACCCAACTTGTCTGCAGCTTCGAGAAAACCCATAAAAATTATATATCAACACATTTGGCTCAATCAGGAATGGTGTCCTGTGACTTTTGGTGGCGATTTGTCGTAGCGATTTTGCGAAATTCTTAAAAAACTGCATTGAAAATCCCCATTGAAATGAATGGAAAGTCAGAAGACAACTGGCAAAACCCAGCCATCTGTGGTACCCTGTAGCACGGGCGGGTTTTACAGAGAAAAAACTAAATTAAAGGTGTAAACAGGTCACAAGGCTTTGGATGTTATATGTCTTAATCTGTGTTTTGATATCTTCTACAGGTTTTATGCAGATGCAGTTTAAGTTTTTAGATTTGCGTTTACTTAAGGTGGGTGTCATGACGTCCCTCTTACCAGGGACTCTGACACATGCTGGCTTTTCAAATATTAAACGTACTTATATAAATTATACCTTATGTAATCACAGCAGGACTTATCAGTGGGCAGAAGCTGCATTGTCGCTGCACTCAAACTTTCTTCAGACAGTTTCTAGTTTTGTCTTTGAACAGGGTCATTGAAACACATTTTAGGTTGATGCCAAAGTGTGTGTGTGTGTGTGTGTGTGTGTGTGTGTGTGTTTCTCAGTGCTGGAGATCAGCGTGTTCAGCATGGTGTCCAAGGACATCACGAGAAATGTAGTCGACTACATCTCCACCTTGGCCTGGAAGAACAAAATCATCATCCAGCGCTTTCATCAGCCCACCTGCCTTGAACAGATATCTGCCATTGAGCACTACAGAAGCCTGGGTATTTTGTAATGAAGGTTTTGTTCCTGTTTTGTAGAACTCTTGTCACTGCTCCACACCTGTTGACCTGTTTCAAGCATATTGCTAAAACTCTCCCACCGTACACATGATTGATAACCACACAGTGCTAGGAACAGGAAAGAGGAGGTTTTAGGTTCGGTTTGACGACGTGCTTCTGTGTTTGATGTCTTAGGTGTGTTGTTTAAGAGGTGCACCCTGTTACTGCCCACAAAGGAAAGGTTAAAGTTTATCTTTGGCAGGTTTTCACAGGTAAGAAAGGGACAGGTGAGAGCAGATTGGTGTTCAATGTTTTAGTCTCTGTAATTTTAGTTAGAGTAAGAGTATTGGAGCATATTCTTTAGTTTGCAAGTAACATTTTTGCATTTAAAGGGATAGAAACTGTTTTTTGTTGTTTTGAAAGACCAGTCAGTAAAGTAGTTCACATCATGCACAATGTTGGTTGTAGTACTGCTGAAACAAAATATTGTCACTTTCTATTATCTATAGACAAAAAAAAAAACGGTGCCACTGATTTGTTTCAGATTCCCTGCTTCATGTTGGAGCAGTGTCCAACACCAGACTGCATTGGTTTCTACAGCTGCGGGGTCTTTCTCCAGGTGAGAGCCTCGTATACGGACTGCAAACAAGTTGAAAATTGAATGTGATTAAAGGAAATGACAAATCAGACACAACTGTGAGCAGTCAGTGACAGTGAACCAGCTACNCCTACGGACAATTTACAATCACCAATTAACCTCAGCATGTTTCTGGACTGTGGGAGGAAGCCGGAGAACCCGGAGAGAACCCACGCTTCATGAGGAGAACATGGAGACTCCACGCAGAAAGATCCGCACCGGGACACAAACCGGCGACCTTCTAGCTGCGAGGCAACGGTGCTAACCACTGAGCCATCGTGCAGCCCACTAGTTAAGCTGTTTTATTAAATTTAAGATTAGTAGAGCCACGGGAGGAGACCTGCAATAACAACTGACTGTATAAATGGTGGACATGTAGGAACGTATGGAAGGGGGTTAATATAGGCAAAAAAATAACTATATTTATTTATTCACATTGACTATATCAGAATCAGAATCAGATTTATTGCCAGATATAGTTTACACAACATGAGGAATTTGTTCTGGTGGGTTGGTGCAACAATACAACAATAAATACAGAGTAAACTAAAAGTAAATATGAATAAAAAAATAACTGTAACAGTGCAAAACAGAAGCAAAAAATGTTGTGGAGTAAAGAATTAAAAGTTAAATAAGAACCATGAAACTGTAGTATTATTAATATTTACATTTATACAGATATATTAATAAATAGTTTGCAACATATGGGAGACTCTGTAGGGGGAACATTTTAGCTGCATATTATTATTTAATGTCTTGTCTGCATTACTTCCATTCATTGACTATAACTGAACGCAGCCTGATTAGTAGCCTAGCACGAAGCTAACTAGCTACCAGCTACCAAACTGCACTTATCACATGAACTCTTCCTCACAGTTAGCTAGTTTGTGATACTTCCGCTTCACTCATAACACTTGCTGACTTTTTTCGTGTTACTTTAGGGACATTTCGCGGTTACTTACACGGTTCTAGTCGTTCTCCCTCCTCGTCGGACGGATGAAAGCAGTTTGGCGCCGCCGTCTGCTGGTGTTTCGCTAAACGCGGTGAAGTTAGCACACAGCCGCCTTTACTTTTACCTCCGACGTTTAGCCGCTGATACTGCTCACAATACCGGTAAGATGTGGTTGTAACGTTGGCTTGTATTCGTGTTAAGTCCATGTTTTAAACTGTGACTCTTTAAAGCTGGAGGTTGAAAGTAGTTTGTGAGGAGTTGCGTTTAGCTAGCAGCAGGTTGTTGGTGTAGCATTAGCCGGTTTTAAGCTAGGTTAGCATGAAAGCGTTTTCCTGTTTCCTCGTCAAATTCTTTTTTTTTTCGTTTGACAGTCAATTAAGTGGTGAAGACAATGGCCAAGAAAACAGCCAGAAACGTTGGCAAGTATAAATGGACAAAGAAATCCCAGCGTTACAAGAAGAGTCCCCATGAGCCGGTCCGGACCATCGTGACCCGCAGTCAGTGCGCCTCCGGCAGCAACCTGTTCTACAGAGTCCCGGCGGAGGTGTTCGACATGATCCTGGATCACCTGTCCGGTGGGTGTCACACCGTCCGTCCAACCCAACCTCTAACCCCCAGCGTTCAACACCATGCTTTATCTAGTGTAATGACTCTTAGTCTCTTACTCAGGCAGTTTGTGCTTCAGCTCATTTTCAGGGGAATATATTAAAGAACGCTGCTGATCCAGGGACCCTGCACAGTCTGAGTATTTATGAGCCCATACTGGGTTTAGCTCAGTGGGAGGTT